ACCATTTATTTTTGCTACACAAGAAACATAAAACATACACGGATACAAGGCACATTACTAAAACACAAATTTAATTTTATAATACATTTGGCAAAATGTGTAGCAAGGGCTACCAGCTCAGTATAAGTTGCGCGAAAGCACAACACTGGTTTTCAGCTGGCGCCTGACATTTGCCCCAACCGTTAGAAACTAAACGCACACAGATAACTCGCATCACAATGAATATAAAATCCAAGTAAATAATATATAAAGTAATAATAAAATAGTAATACATAAAAAAAAAATGACAGGAGTGTATATAACAAACAAAAAAAAAAGAATTATTTATTGAAAGGATACAATGCCAAAACATAGATATTAAGACTTCAACACTTTATCTTTCCACTTCAGCCCCATGACGTTAAAGTAGTTGCTGAATTTTCCGTGGTTAATTGATTAAATTTGCCGCTGACAAACTTACATAATACTGTTGATAAATTTCTTCAATGAATTAATTATAGTCAAAGTTCTGTGTAAACTGGGTTATCATAATCTAAGTTTGTTGTAATATTTTATGACATATCATTTACGCAAATAAAATGTTATGTCCACCAGTGGACTATTAAGGGCTGTTGATGATCATCATCAACAGCCCTTAATATTCCACTGGTGGACATAGGCCTTTCTTTGGAAAGGAGGTTTTGGCCTACTATACCGCGCTGGCCAGACGGGTTGGTATAGGGTTTGTTTCAAGTTTTCCTTTTCTTTGCAGTGCTATTGTCCTGTGTAGTTTGCTCCCTTAGCCGTCTCCCTGTCTCGGTGGTGACACTGCATATTCTTAATCTGTCACCACACGGACGATTTCTTTTTTTTTACCAATATATTATAAACAATTTTAAAAATAAATCTGAGTTTGCCAAGTAAACATGTTAAGCTCTGCCCTACCATATTAACTTTCAATAACGAAATCGCTTGTAACTTAACAAATAAGTAGGCAACAGAGACTCAAATCTTTCACCTAATTCTTAATTTCATAAGCACATAAAAAGTTTTTTTAAACTACTGATATATCGAATTGATATTAACCTTTACACAAACATACTTTTATTTTAGTATAGGATAGGGATTTAATAAAATCGCAAACACCTGTTACAAATCATATAATCACGTCCGTGGCTAACTTATAAATCCACTGCGACTTATGATTAGGTTAGAGCCAGACTCGGGAAAAGCCTAAATCTAAAAGAAAGATCTTAGTCTTTAATAAAAAGTGGTTGGTTGGTTTTTAAGTTTTTGATGACATTTATGTCTATGACCAAATCCTAGTAGTGGTAGTAGTAGTAGTAGTCCTACGAGTAGTTATCATAGGCGAAGTCGGAGTGCCTAAAACCAATCATCTTATCATATGATTATGATTCAAAAGTAGCAATAATTTCCATCATTAGTATAGGGGCAAAGATCAGACGAGTCACTTGACGTGACCACCGGCGCCCATGGACACTGAATCGTCTGTAGCCAAAAGATCTCCGACCGGCTCGATCCTCTGGCCTTACGTAGAGATGTAACCTCGCTCTGCATTCTCTATCGTATATATCATGGAGAGTTCTCTGAGAAATTATTCTAACTAATACCGGCCGCCGTCGTTCCACACGCAAAATTTTCATCCCCAAAACTTGAATAATTGGCACTCCACCACTGTGCGCTTTTCGAGACACTTTTTGCCTCACACTACCAAGCTGTAGAACAGGTTATCGTCTACCTTCAAACCTTCAAGAAAAGAGCGTACTCGTTCCTCAAAGTGAGTCCTCCTGAGAAAGACTCCTGAGTTGCAAGTGTTCATGGGCGGCGGTAGTCGCTTTCCATCAGGTGACCACCTATTCTATAAAAAAAAAGAAAAAAAAAACGCTAGCAACTCAAGAGACATAAATACGTTACTGTCCTTTTAGTGCCCGCTTCCAAACCAGGTTCCTCCTTGGTCCTTGAATACCAGTTGTCTATGGGGCTGTGGTTTTGACTCTCCTAGATTTTTGGTCGGCTTTAACTCTACTACGATACGGCTGAACGTTGATTTTTTACGTGACTGCCATCAAATCTCTACAATCCAAATACATGGCTATAACGAAGTTCTGTGGAAAGACTGTTGTTAGACTTTTTTGGTTTCCACTTACCCATAACGGTTACCCCATGTGTTCGCATAGCAAGCGGGATCAACGGCCTAACGTGCTCTCCGAGGCACGGAGGGCTCTCAATATGTTAATAATGGTCACCCATACATAGAGGGACCTGGCTAGGATTACTTATCTTAGAATAGTTTGAAGCTGAATAATTTTCACAATCAACGTTAAACCATAAAATTAGGTTCAACATATCCATCAGTGTCACGTCTGAATATGTTACAAAAGCCATTATTCGTACTTTAAGTTCAGGACTTAGTCAAACTCTCAATTTAATTTATTAATACTTAAAGCTTACATAATTCAACGCACTAAGTTTTAAATCTAGCACTCAAGTTACAACACTCTGGAAACACACCTGATACCTGGCCTTATAAAGTGACAGATGGGATAAAACTCCACTAAGTGTAAACTTCGAAAGTGCTTAAAAATTAATACGGGACCCGGACTCATATAGGGCTGTCGAACTCTTACAATTAACGAATGACTGTTTTAATTATAATGTATAGGCCAAATATGGCAATGGACTTGAATTGAAGCTTATGGAAAAAATAAATATTAATGTAATAGGTACCTCTCATCATAAAAAGTAATTTTAAATAAAAATGTTTGAGCTTTATTAACAGTCCTATTTATAGAGGATTTTAAAACAAAAATAACTCAGAATCATTAAATAAGACGAATAAGTGGCCAAAATAATTTCAATATTTTGCTATAAAAAATATAGAATGCTTTTTCAAACTTGGAACACTTATGTAGAGTCAGCTTTGTAATAAAATTAAATAATCGGGAAACAGTCAAGAAATTTCGTATCAAAATAGTTTTAAAACCTAAAAAGCTATTAAAAAACTAATAATGTTATTGAACGTTGTGGTCGTAGTATTAGAAACCATCAGTTCAAGTTAATTTACTGCTAACGCTAATTCAAGCGGCTTGTGTAGTGACACCCCTACAAAATCCGCCTATAGAGAAAATTGACGTAAGTGCTAAAGTTTATTTTTAGCTAGACGTACAGGTGAGGAATGAACACGAGTTAATTCCATATGTATTTTTATCGTTCACATTTATTTTCGTTCTTTTGGATTAGTTTAAAAACATAAGAATCGATTTTCGTACTACTTCGTAATCGTTTATGGTGGTTTCCGTTGTCCATAGGCACTACAAGTAGTAATATTTTCAATTTTACTAATGCAGTTAATACTTTCATAACAATCTTTTGTTCTTGCTTTAGTTAAAGTGAAGGAAACTTGATAGTCAGCGTATACGGCAACATATTGATTTTAGTGACTGTATTTCAGACTTGGGAGACTTCAATGTAGCATAATTTATTAACTTTCTATTAAATCAATAAGGTTTCTTATAATATATGTATTTAGTACATCTAAATCATATGTATTTATTTAATTAAATAATAATAATAATAATGTAATTTAATATTTTTAAATGTATTTTTATTTCTTTTGTAATATATTTAAAAATGTAATTAATATGTATATATAATTTAATAAAGAGAATAATAATAATATTTTATTTCTTCTCTCACACAGAAAATCATATCAATAAACTAGTAACAAAGTTATAGATTACTTTACAACAAGAAAATGCTAATGCTAAATATATGTATCTAATAACACCACTAGCCTTGTTCAGCACGTGGTATATTCCCTGTAGTACGTAATATACTCACCAAAGTCCTACAAAATGGATACTATGTGTTACTATCACTTTCTTTTATATTTATATATATATATATTACTTAGATTTCCTCTTCTTATCTATTCCCTAACACAAGGGAAGGGCTGCTTCATGTTTTCTCTCCATACCACGGTTGCCTGCAAGAGATTGCCTCTAAGCGATAAGGCCACTTGTATTTGTCTAACCTAGTTTAGGTTAATTATTGTATGTTCTTACCTGGTGTACATTAAAGCAATATTATTATTTCATAATTACTATAGGTACAGTACAGTACAGTATAATAGCTAAAGGTTGGGCTAAACCGATTTCTGAACTATAAAACAATTTCGAAATAATAAGACTAACTCGTAGTTTCCCAAAATTAGTTTAGATTTAGTTATCATACGTAGTCTTTCAGTTTTTTGGTAGAATTGGACTTTGTACAACTACACTGGATGCATTAATGATAAGTGCTGCTAATAACCTTACTAATAAAGAAAAAAAAGAGTACAAAGAAATATTTTTACTATTGTGTTTGTGTGTGTTGTATCATAAAAAGATTAGTCAAAATTATACTATATTTAAACGGTAATATATAACGTAGTATATAACGGTTGCGCAGAAACCGCGGACGGCCACAAGATAAATACAAGTTGTGTACGTAAAACAATTTAAACGCCGTCAATAGCGTGTATTAAACTTGAGTAATTCAATTATTCGCCAAAACCGACAATCGTGCCAAGATTATCTAGATGTTTATTTATAAGAGGGGGCCACCGTTTACCAACTTTACCAAGTCTAATTATAGCGGCTATTGAATGCCAAAATTTGCACGAATAAAGTATTGCCTAGCCTGTCGTAAACAGCAGAATAGTCTTATTTTCTTACCAATACTACCCATTATTCTCAAGCCTATTATCAATTTTGTCCTTTGCAGCTGCCCGTAAGAGATCACTCTTAGTCGTGTAGGTGGTTTTTGGAAACTAACTTTTTTCCCTTTTACTTTTAACTTCTTTGGTATTTTAGTATATTTTTTTGTTGATCTTTTACCAAAATACCATTTTTCGACACACATAGGCCGTCTTAACTGGACTATGAAAAACTACTAACAACTAAAACTTTGCCAACAAGTTCGCCAATTTTTTCATGAGTATGTGTAAGCAAAGCTAAGAAATGCAAGGACTTACGACACCAAGCCGTGAGCGGAGCCAAACAATTGCTCCTTTCTCATTTCTTATTCTTTGTCTTTTCGTAAAAAAAGTACTTATGAATAAGACAGAATGATACGCTGTTTAATAACAAAATGTTTTAATTAAATAGAGATGATTGTTTGACCGACCTGTTTATCTATTGGTTGATGATCTGTTAATAATTTCAAGCATTTTTTGATTAAAATTACTATTTATGGGAAAAGGGTAATTAAAATATAATTAATGGGATCGGTCCCATTGGTTATATTTTCCATAGTCTTAATTTCAAGTCCATTGCCATATTTGGTCTATATGTACATTTAGTAACAATTTAAACAATCATTCGTTCATTTTAACATCTTTACAGTCCTATACGAATCCGGTTCTCGTATTAATTTTTAAGCACTTTCGAAGTTTACACTTAGTGGAGTTTTGTCCCATCTGTCAGTTTATAAGGCCCGGTATCAGGTGTTTCCAGAGTGTTGTAACTTAAGTGCTAGATTTAAAACTTAGTGCGTTGAATTATGTAAACTTTAAGTATTAATAAATTAAATTGGGAGTTTAACTAAGTGCTGAACTTAAAGTACGTATAATGGCTTTTGCCACAAATTCAGACGTGACACTGATGGAGATGTTGAACCTTATTTTATAGTTTAATGTTGAGTGAGAAAATTATTGAACTACCAACTATTCTAAGAAAAGTAATCCTAGCCAGGTTTGTCTATGGATGGGTGGCAATTCTTAACAAATTGAGACCCTGGAGAAGAAACTGGAGGGTCATGCTTCCGTCCTTATGGGCCGACTCGACCGGAGTAATACCACCGCCTCATAGACAACAACTGATATTAAGGAACCGAGGAGAAACCTAGTTTACAAAAGCATGTTTATTAGTTTTTAAACTATTATTTAGATATTATATAGGGTGCGAATGGGCAGACTGGTGAACTGATGGTAAGTTATTAATGAGTTCATGGATCTCTCTCTGAATTTAAGAGCCCTTGACGGTGGAGCAATCACCACTCCTCTCTATACCCTGCGATCTGTTTGACTTCCTGATAGGCCATGACTCCCACTTTCTCCTTCACTTGCTCTATGTTTGTTGATCTAGCCCGGCCTCATATCTCTTGCCTTCTATTTTTCCTTCCAGTATTATTCTTAGGAAGTTGTCGTGTCTTATCAGGCAGCCAACCATGTCCATTGATGCAGCGAGCTATTAGAAGAGCATAAAAAGAATCATTAACCTAAACAACAGCTTTTAATAGTCCACTGCAGGACATATGCCTCTTCTTAGAAAGGAAGTTTTGGCCTACTACATCACGCTGGCCAGACGGGTTGGCATACTGTTTGTTTCAAGTTCTCCTTCCCTTTGCAGTGCCGTTGCCATGTGTAGTTTCCTTCTTTATTCAGCTCTTACGATAATCACGGAATGAATATGTTAAATCTAAATACAAAAGATCGAATATGTTCGAGCTATTACGGAGATATACGAGTATGATATATATACAGTATCCACATTTAAGCAAAAATAAATTCACAATATATTTTTATTGAATACGGAAATGAATATTAATAGACCTTTAACGTTACAAGTACAACATTAAGAGTAAATCTCCATTTAAAGTAAAGGTTTTACACCAAGGTAGAGTTTTATTAACGAGTAGGCGAACGAGGTGTAATAAAGAGTACTTTTTATATCTTTTACGAGTTTCGTGAAAACAGCGGTCGCATTTACTTATTGAGCTCGAGAAAAGGGCAACCAAGAATATATTTAATAATAAGATCACAAGTTCGTGTGCTGGACTACATTGTACGAATAATTTAAAAAAAAAGGTGTTAAAAGTATCTTGCTAGGGTCTTCTCGAAAAGACAATCACTACTTAAACAATGCTGAATTACCTTTAGGTATTATTACTTATAGTTCTATTTATAGAACTTATAGTTGTCTTCGCATAGCATTTCTTTTTAATTTTTGAGATTTGTTATTTATTTAAAGCTAGCTTCTGCCCACAGCTCCTCCCGCGTGTATGTCAGTTATCACAATAAAAAGTAGTCTATAGCACTCAGGTATAATATACTTTTCAGGAATTGTCAAAATCGGATCAGTAGTACCGGAGATTACGCCGAACATGCAGACGCATAAAGTTTTCCTCTTTATAATATTAGATAGATATCTTGATAAAGTTAACTATTTTTCTACTATATTGTTTTTTATTTTTCAAAAATAGGAATATATCCTGTGTCGACGAGGACAAACATACATGAGACGGACACAAAGAACACCCAGATTTAGAACAACAATTTGTGGATCACACAAAGTGTCGTCCCGTGTGGGCAGTAGGAAGCGCCATCCCTGCAGTCGATCATAATCCGATCTAATAGCTCAACCAATATGCTTAAAGAGAATTTTAGAAAACCAAAACCAAAACCTCCTTTCTAAGGAGAGGCCTATGTCCAGCAGTGGACTAGTATAGGCTGTTGATGATGATGATGATGATGAATTTTAAAATTTGTATTACTCATAAAAATCTTTTACTTACTTATTTCCAAATCTGTGACTTTTAACAAAACAGCCAAAATTGAAAAAAAAAAATATTTACAAATTTTTGTTCAATTTTTAAAAGGTTACGAATAGTGAATAACATTTTAATTTCTATAGGTCCGTGTGGTGACGGATTAAGAATACAGAGTGTCACCACCCCTATTCATCCCGTGGGTGTCGTAAGAGCCGACTAAGGGAAAAAAACTACGCAGAACAACAGCACTGCAGAGAGAAGGAAAACTTGACACAAACCCTTTTTTTTTTTTTTTTTTTTAACGTGTGGAAATCCCCTCGGACCGTCACCCCTCCGGGGTTTGCGGCGGGGTGGTGTGTCGGACTCGGACCGACTAAAACCACACGGTGTGCCACTCTGCGCCTGTAACAGGAGGGATCCGGGAACAGCTGTTGTTAAGACATCCGGACCCCTCCTAGCGCCAGCCCGCTCCTGGTGCGGGCTCCGTCTCAATATTTTTTTTTTCCTTTCTTTAGGCGACGTCCGGCACACGCGGACGCCGCCCCCTCGCGGCTGGCCAAACTAATGCGGGTGGAGGGGAAACCCACCCCGTCCACCCGCGGCCACACTCAGGGCGGCATGAGGCTGTGATAGGCGGGCCTCCGCCGCCCGGTTCGCCGGCGGCGGATCGGGTCCGAGTGGAGGTCGTCCTCCCGGGCCCTCTCCGCCGCCTCCTTCCGCGAGATTACTACCTCGCAGAAGGTTGCGACCGCGGTAAAACAACTGTCGCTACCGGCCATGGAGCGTACTACGGCCGGTAGCGAGAGATCCACTCCGATGACTGCAGTGAGGGCCCGGCGCTGCGCCGCCCATGCGGGGCAGACCGCCAGCGTGTGCTGGGCCGAGTCCTCACTGCAGTCGCAGTGGTGGCAGGCGGGACTCAGTTCCCTCCTAGCGACCGAGTGCAGGTACTTTCCGAAGCAACCGTGCCCGGAAAGCACCTGCGTCAGCCGGAAGGAAAGGGTCCCGTGCTGCCGCCCTGCCCACTCGGCGATGACCGGCTGGAGAGCCTCCACGGCGGCGAAGCCAGCGCGTGGAGTCTCCAGCCGGAACGACCAACGAGCCATCGTGGCTCGGCGAGCGGCATCGCGCCACTCGCGCAAATCCTCGGGCGGAGGGCGAAATCCGCTCTCCGCCCGGGAGTCAGCCACTCGCCGATAAACTTCGGCGAGCACTTCCGCCTCCAAATCCCACGGGGGAGTTCCGGCCAACGCGCATGCCACCTCCGTCGAAACGGTGCGGTAACCGCGTATGGCTCTGACCGCCATTACCCTCTGAGGGCGCCAGAGGCGTACCCTATTCTGGGCGGTCAGAGCCGCCGCCCACACCGGTGCACCGTACAGTGCCATTGACCGGACAACCCCCGTGTACAGCCGTCTTGTCGCGACGCTGGGTCCACCCATATTGGGCAAAAGTCGCCCTAGGGCAGACGCAGCGCCGACCAGCTTTGGAGCAAGCTGTCGGAAGTGCTCGTCGAAGAGCCACCTCCCGTCGAGGATCAGGCCCAGATATTTCATCTGGGCCCGAACCGGTACGAGGACCGAGTTGACCACGATTGAGGCGCCAGGGGGTGGACCACGACGGGGCCCATGAAATAACAGGGCCTCCGTCTTATCTAGGGCCACCCGTAAGCCCAGCGCCTCAATGCGCCCGACCACCAGGGAGACTCCCCCTGTGGCCAGGCGCGCCGACTCTTGGAAGTTTGCCCCCCGGGCTGTCATCAGGGTATCGTCTGCGTAACAGATTACACCCAGCCCGGGGGGGAAATCGGCGCGAAGGGACCAGTCGTACCCTATGTTCCACAAGAGGGGTCCAAGAACAGACCCCTGTGGAACACCGCACGACATGGGCCGACACCTCAGATTACCTTCTCGGTCCTCGTACACGACGGTACGCTCCTCTAAATAGTCTGCCACTAGCCGCCTCAGGTACTTTGGCACCATATGATAGTGGAGTGCTTCCCTGATGCAGCTGAATGGCAGACTATTGAATGCGTTGGCGATGTCTAATGACACCGCCAACAGCACGCCGCCACAGCTCACGGCCTCTTCGGTCACGGCCCTCAGGCGCAACACGGCGTCGACTGTCGAACGCCCCTCCCAAACCCTATACCAACCCGTCTGGCCAGCGTGGTATAGTAGGCCATAACCTCCTTTCTAAGGAGAGGCTTATTATGTCCAGCAGTGGACTATTAAAGGCTGTTGATGATTTTAATTTCATGTATTATAATATATATATATATATATATAAATATAAACAAATTCTAGAATTTAAAAAAAATTAAGAAGGACCATCGAATATTAATTATAAAATCAATGAATATTTGCCTTGTAAGCATTTTTTGTCATCGTTTCTTCGTACAATATTACAAATGTATAAATAAATATACTTTCCTGCTCGGTTTGCATCTTTTAAATTTATGTGTTCAAAATTATTCTACAGAATAACGTTGAGTCTTTTCAAATATTGACATTTTTCCTTGTAAATTTGAGTAAAACTATGAATGAGATTTTAACGTCACAAATTTGCACGGAAAATTGTAAAATACTAGCAAACTCAGTTCTTTGTTCGGGAAATTAAAATTACTTATAAAAATATATTGAAAGTTTTATTAAAAAATCTCTGTCTTATTCTACTAGTTTTCCAATTTAAAAAAAATTTAAAATATATCAAAACGTTTTTTTGTTAATTTAAGCTGCCATCTTTAATGTGCTCATTTTTTTAAACTCTAAGAAGGATACCGCTAGTGTGTATTCGTTTGTTTCATTTTATTTATTTAAACTTTTGTTCGTAAACTTAATCTAAATCAGCGCATCTAGTGTGTTGGAACAGATATATATTTGGGACAATATTTTTTTGAACCTATTCAGTAAATCGCTAAAATATATTGTGACATGCACACACATTAAAAACATATCTGTATTGAAACTGCTTGCTTATGTTGATGTGAAAAAGTAAAATACTAAACTTAATACATTTGTTACAGATTCGAAACGAGACCACTGCAACAAGACAGTGGATATATACGAGGATGTGTCGTCACCACCCGTGACCGCGGAGAACTTTGGCCAACCACTCACTTGTACATACAGGTCAGTAGTTCTTCTCAACTTGCGTCAAAACATTCAAAGTTTTGTTCAAACTTATGATAGATGGCGTTTTCAACTTTTACTTAGATACTTTTGGCTTTGGCTTGAAAGGTTTCTAGAAGGTTGTAAGTAATTTAGTGGGAATGTTTTGGTGTATGTTTGACTTGATATTACTATCAGAGAATGAAAACTTTCATGCTGAAATTAAGATTACGCGGCAGGTGACTCTATAATTATTACTAAAGACGCGAATAATAATTGTACATAGATTTGAATTACCCAACATTTCGACCAGGTTGCACTTGCAACCGTACGTACACGTATCTCACAAAACGTGAATACAATTTTTGTTTCCTTTTTCTATAACAGACTTTTTTTTTTTTCCGTGCGGAAATCTCCTCGGATACCACCTATCGGTGGCATGTCGAACTCGAACCGACTAAAACCGCACACCATCTCGGGTACTAATAGCCGGGGAACCAGGTATACCCTAGAAAGGAAGTCCCTGGTGCCCCGACATACCTCGGGCCATCTACAACAACAGGTAGACGACCCCCCCTTCGCGAGCATGACTTGCTCGCAGAAGGAGACGGCAGAGTTTCACGCACTCTCGCTCCGCACGATAGCCGCAATCAGGCTATCGAGCGAGAGAACTCCCACTCTACGTACACGTATCTCACAAAACATTCTATAACAGACTAGATTTCAAAGGACTTGTACAAGCAAGATAACCATATAAGAATGTCGAACCATCTTATGTAGATCTTTTAAAAAAGAAAATGAACTCACGTACGCTACAGCGTCTTGAGGAAATTATGATAAGAAAATCTTGAACACTTTTTAGCTAAAGTACTGCTGAAAGATCATTATCATTTAAAATAGAAGTTTTTCTTCGAGAAATAAAATGAAATAAATCTATCACGCTCACAAAGTATTATATTTCTATTTTTATTATAATTAAACAGGTTAGTAGGTACCAACATTTTGTTCAAATAATGTTAATATTCTATAAATATCTATTTAAAAATAATAAACTTGCGTCCTAACCATATTTGGTCTACAAAGGAACATATTAAGGGCCAGTTCTGATTATTATCTAGTTTATCTATTCATCATCATTATCAACAGCCTTGTGTGGTGTGGTGACGGATTAAGAATACAAATTGTCACCACCCCAATTCATCCCGTGGGTGTCGTAAGAGCCGACTAAGGGAGCAAACTAAGCAGGACAACAGCACTGCAAAGAGAAGGAAAAATTGAAACAAACCCAATACCAACCCGTCTGGCCAGCGTGGTATAGTACGCCAAAACCTCCTTTCTAAGGAGAGGCCTAAGTCCAGCAGTGGACTAGTATAGGCTGTTGATGATGTTGATGATGATGATGATCAACAGCCTTTAATAGTCCACTGCTGGACATGGGCCTCTCCTTTTATCTATTATTATCTAGTTATTACTTTCAGAAAAACCTTACAAACTTCGATAGACTAGTCATCACTTTCAGAAATCATAAATAAGTCCTAAGCCTCAATCGTTCTAGATGAAGACATGTTTACAATAAATCGATCTACATAAGGACATAAAAATGAAAGGGAAATTTAGTATACATTTTTGTTTCCAGGTTTAGAGCATTCAGAGGGTCCCCTAAAGACTGGATACTCAGAATCAGATTTAAAAAGTTTAAAGTTGGGACCTTAATCAACGGTACAACGTGTCACAAGGGATATATGCAAGTAAGTTTATTTAAAATTTAACAAAAAAATCTCCTTCGAGTCGGGTACTTCATAATTTAAATAATATTTTAATTAAACTACATTTTTCAATTTTGCAATATTGGCAAATGTGGTTCCAAAGTAAAAAAAAACCATTAATTTCTAAACTAACTAACTAACCATTAAAAAAATTTAAGTTTTAAATTTAAAGAAGTCAATGAACGCTTTAATATGATCTTCCAAAACAATAATAGATTTAAGCCTAGAAGACGGAGGGAATTATTTTATTTCACTAAATATTGCCGTAAAAAGAAGTTCATTAATTGAGCAAAATTTATTATCCAATCTTGTAAGCCAGACGTTCAAAGATAAAAATGATCTTACCGTTTTCTCGTTAATAACGTAGGAAGGAAACGATGAAAAGGGGAAAAAAGCTATTTAAAAACAAAAAGTTCCTGTCATAAAGTCGTGAAAATCGGCTTCCATCAAAAGTACTACTAATTGAGTCAGCGCACGCTTTTGCAATTCTACTAATTAATTTTTGAACTCGCCTAACGGGTAAAAGATCTCGGAACTCCCACGATCCAATTTGGCCGTAATTATTGGATCAGTCTACATTTATAAATCTGTGAGTTTATAACTCTCAAATTCTGAACCCTACGAATTTACTGGGAATGTTGGAAATATTTTAGGTACCAATAAATTATGATTGTATTTTAAAAATAAATGCTTTATATTTAAATTATGTTACTAAAGAGATCAAGCTAACATGCTTCATAAACAATTTTATCTTATCGCTAAAGTACCTAAAGTTATATACGAATTGTTATTAATATTTAACTGTTCATAGATAGTGGATGGCAACGCGAAGACGGATGTATCGAACAGAAAGGAGCCTGGACTCTTCTGCGGCGAAATAGAACAGCCACAAACGTTCATATCGGAGACAAACTTCGTGAAGATTGTCTTCCACGCCGACAACTTCACTGATCAAACTTACTTCAGTTTCGATTCCAGGTCAGTAGTCGTGCTAAATGGGGTAATTCGATAAAGCTAAAATCAAATTTAAAGGACTTTAGATACTTCAGTTCAAAGCGGAACTATGAATCGTTGGAGATAAAGTCAAGCTTATTGCTTGGGAAATTATTATTGTAAACGTCATTGGAAATATCATTATTATTAATCATTAAAGGAAATAAATAATATAACATAAAATTTTATTACCGATAGATTTTTTACTGCAGTTTAAATACAGAACAAAATCAGTCCGATGTATAGAATACATAATACTGCCGCGAATGCAGTTTTCAGAAAGAATTCATAAGAGTTTCAAGAAAATAAATAATTTTAAATGTAAAAGTGAGTAATTGAAGATGCGCCGGTATTGTATACGTTTCTTTGTATACCTAAACTTCCATTGCTAGAGTATTCTCAATTTAAAATAAATCAATATACTTGTTGTAAACTCTCCTAAGATAACAAATAGGCTCATTTTCAAAGTTATTATAAGCTATTCAACCATCAACAGCTTTTAGTAGTCTACTACTGGACATAGGCCCCTCCTTAGACAGGAGGTTTTTGGCTTACGATACAATGGTGGCCAGACGGGTGAGTACCTATAAGGTTTATGTCAAGTTTTCCTTCTCTTTGCCGTGCTGTTGTTCTGAGTAACTTGCTCCGTTATTGGGCTCTTACGACACCCTCGGGATCAATAGGTGTGAACATGGACAGCTATAAGCTATTATCCCGATTAAAAATAATGGTAAACACAGTCGTGCGTTGCCGAATCTAAAAAACTCCTGTACGCACTAATTGTTTACAAAACATTCTGCTATTTAGGAGCTAGGAACTTTCCTAAGGTTTTATGTTCTTTCATTTTTTTTCTTAAATTTCATTAAACTTTTTGTTTTACAGAGCCGAGCAACAGTTTGAAGTGTACTTACGTTACGGCCAGCATCCAGAATTATATCCAAATAGAAGAGGGGAAGTTGTAGCCGGGTGCGTATTTTACTTATCGTTGTCCTTTTTATAAAACCTCTTAAAAGCTCAAGTACTTCGGTGGCAGTAACTGAATTTAGAAGACATTTGACGCAACATATTTTCAGACATCCAAGACAATATTGGCAATTGAAATGAAACTCATTCTTCCTTATTCCTTAATTATAACCACGTGTTAATTTTACTGTTGAGGCTTATTGTACCGAAGAAATTTTAGAGATTTTACAAATTTTTTATAAAATCTTTATTTCAAAATATTCGAAAAGGCAGACCTAACTTTTCAAAAGTCAAGTATGCTATTGAACGTGGTCCTTTGCCAAACAACAATAAACATAAAAAAATGTCACTTCAACCAAAATACTTCACTACAATCTTTATTTCTACAATAATGGACCATTTTTTACATTCGTGGTGGGCGGAACAAATATTTTGCCAAGGTAATATAAGTCTACTGTCTGATGATGAGCAGCAATTTTTTTTCTTTCGCCCATCGAAGTCTTTCTTTATCTTTCTTAGGCAATTAGACCCTGTAGCAGAGATTTTATTTACAAATTCTCTGGTATATAATTAAACGTTATTTGATTAGAAAGTTAATGGTTGTAAGTTTTAGGTGTAATAGAGAATCTAAACAGGATAAAGTGACTTTGAAAACTTAAATGAAAAACAAAGCAAAGCTTAAAACTTTTATTTACCAATGCAGAAAGTATTTAGCTACTTATTTTGTAATTCTATTCTAAAATTATAATCATGTATAATACGTCTGCCTTTGAATACATTTCTTATTTTTATGAATGTATTTGAAATTATACAGCATATAAATATAGCGTATATTTCTGCGTAGTATGGTCAAAAATTTACGCAATAGAATAAAAAAAAACTATTAACCAGCAGAAAAGGTTGTCTTAAATCAAATTGTAGGTATTTAAAGTAAGGGATCGTAGATCCTAATCGTTACCGTATCTGTAGCATCCATAACAAGTAACAACTAACATCCAGTAACAACTCCAATTATTATCATTATAAGCTGTTATTTCATGCTATTTTATAATGAATTATATCGCTGACTAACCAAAGTAGTTAAGAATAACATCAAATCACTGTAGTAATATACCCTAGTGTATTACTACAGTGATTTGATGTTCAGGTCTTTGAAACTCTCTATGTTTAATTTCATCATTTATAATCGTATACACTTCCTTATCGCCCCGAACCCTATCATTTTGGATTAATATATTTATATTTTTCTTATTACAACAGTATAGGTCTTCTGAAGCAGTTATTTTCTGGCCGACTTTGTTGAAAATATTTACCGAATTTCAATGTTCAAGTCAAAAGCAAGTTCAGACGTACGTGATGTACATTTCCTAGTAAATCGTTTGGAAAACCTATTCGCTATTTTGGACGTCGACTTTTTGGGTTGATCGATTCAATGTGTTGAAATTACAAAGAGTGTTTTGACCTGGAAATCGATTACGATTCGATTTATTCCAAAAATAGGATTTGATATCATATCAACAAATTTATACAGGATATTACAGACAGGTGTGGTCAAATTACAAGAAATAGTTTTTGTAGCGTTGTTTCTTTTTATTGTTTTTACAGGATTTAACCTATAGAATAGATGAAAATACTGATAATTTAGTCCATCTGAGTTTTCTCTGCCGTAAAATATTTTATGGTGGTATAAAAGCCAGCTACGCATATATTTTAAAACTTGATTCTGTAGGTTATGTTGCCCTGGCTATAGATTTCTTAGTAGATTGACTTAGATTGTGATTCATGTAATCTGGTTGAATAGTCAGCTAGTTCAAGGGTATGTATATGTTACGAGACAACAGATTTTCTAAGTGTGTGTTCTTGTTGATATTTTTTTAGCAAAACCTGGGCTTAATGCCCGTCATCCATACATAGCCTTATTGAAGTCCGTCGTAAAAAGCCTACGTCGTATTTTTTTGTTTCTTCAGTTTTGCGGATAACAGCTGTTAATAAAACGAAAATAGAGACTAATTTCGTTGCAAAAAAAAATAGAGAACCCTTGAGAAATATAATAGTTATAAATGGCCGGTTTGTGTTCTTGTAGTACACTATCAGCCTTAGCGTATCGCGTATATTCTTAATTTAATGATAGGGTAAAATACTTATTTTACTAAGCAATATTCAAATGATATACAAGTATATCAGTAACGCGTGCGACTTGTGATGTTGATGGTGGAAATCCATTAACTTAGATGACTGCACGGATGGCGTAGTGGTTTAAGCGGTCGCCACGCCGCTTCCTACTACGAGGAGTGTTGTGGGTTCGAACCCCACATGGGACAGCACTTTGTGTGATCCACAAATTGTTGTTCTGATTCTGGGTGTTCTTTGTGTTTGTTTCATGTATGTTTGTAAAGTCCCCCGCGACACAGGGTATATTCCTAATGCGGGAGTTGTCTTTTTTCAAAAAAAAGAAAAAGAATAGTTATTTCTATCAAAACCTTTTGCTGAAAACTAAGATTACAGTTCATGACGACATTTACAAGGCCAATTGTCGAACCGATAAATCACTAATTCAATATCGAATCATCGCTTGACTTTCACAAAATAAATCAAGTTGAAGTTGCCAATTACTTAAGGAGCTTATCCAGAATGTCGTTGGCGTTCCAAAATCATTCCATTTTGACTGGCTCCAAACGGCCACCACTTTGGTAGGTACGTGACCGAAATGGCTTATAAATCGTGTTGAATTGTCGGCCTGAGCTGGCTGCTCACCTATTATTGCAGCCACATTGATTTATGCGTTGTAATCAAGCACTTGAATTAAAGTGAGTGAGGTGCGTGGTTGCTGATTTCAGGGTTCTTTTTAGAAAAGTTTTTTTTTTTATGGAGCTTGTACGAGCGTTTTGGGCGTAATGGTCTAGGATTTTTATAGTTGCCAGTTTATGGTTGACATTTCCTGATAGTTGTAAATATAAATTTAAGTTATAAAACCAAAATTTTATGACAAAAACAATAACCGTTTTTTGTTTTTGCTTTTGTCCACTAAGAGCCCTACGCCCACATCATTACAATTTGTTAGCATCGTTGATCGAATCAACATCTACAATTTTTGCTGGATCTTTTGCATTTCATATTCCCTCATTTGTTTAAACCTTTTTATGTTTGAGTTTAAGTAGACTATGGTTTTGTCTATAACAAATATTATTTAGAAGTCATTATGCTTCTAAAGTTAACTTATAAAATGGATCCAATTACTTACACATGTCCATACATGTATTTTTGGTAACATCGGGAACTATCCATATAGTTCCGGTTAGTACCAAAAAGAGAAAGTAAGGATATTCAAGTTCAAAATATTCTTTTATTTCTTTATTTTAAAAGACAAAAAGACCGCATATCTTTGATTTAATGAAGCGGTTGCTGTAGTGTGGCAACATTACTACAGTTACAATTTTAGCAGTTCTGGCTACACCGCCCACTTCTTTCTATTATAGAATTTCAGGTTTAGGGATATTTGAGTATGTCTGGCATGGTTGCCTTTGAAAGTTGATTCGGTTAAGGGGTCAATCCTTGTATAAAGCTAGAATCAGAAGCATTTCGATCCGTTGTTTACGAATATATTTATTTAAATGACATAAATCATAGACAAACTTGATATTTTCTGTTTCTTGATAAGTTTTTATATAATTTTTAAAATAAAATAACTGTAAATGAGGTTATCGTACTAAAACATTAACAAGGTTTTATTAAATTTAATCATGTTCGGATTTATAGTCTTCTTTTACAAACAATAAAAAACACTCAAATGAAACTCCAAATTTGGTCAGTTATAATTTCAACGGCTACAAAGCGCAGCTATTTTAAAACAACCACAAAAATAATTAAAGAGCCAGCAACAATTTTTAGGCGAAAATCTGCGCTCAAAAGTGTTGAGAATAATGATTTTCATCAAACTTTGTTACCGAATTAAGTTAATGAACGGGAGCAATTTTTCGCAGGTCATATTGCGAGCGGGTGTTCCGAGACTGTCGCCTGCAAACCTGTTATGTACAATCGGCTGCCTACCCTGGAGTGTATCCAAGAAATCTTCATTGCAGGCAAGTGTAATAATAAAAAAAAAAAAAAGTGTAATAATGTATTTTATTTGTGTTCTTTCTTTAAGTAAAAGGAACTAGGAACAGGTATTATAGATTTACAAAGATTGAGGTATTGGAATTAATATATCAAATAGACATCTAGTGAATTGAAAATGAAGATTTAAGACAGCACGGGCGGCGTAGTGGTCCCCACATGGGACACAACTTTGTGTTATAAACAAATTGTTGTTTTGAGTCTGAGTGTTTCTTGTATCCGTTTCATAAATGTGTGTAAAATTCCTCTCAAAACAGGAATAATATATTCCTAATGCAGCAGTTGTCTTTTTTAAACCAAAAAAAATTTTTTTTATTTGCACAAACTGCATTGGTCGAAGGATGATTTTACAAATTACTTCAATCAAAACCACGACTAAGCATGGTATAGCTCTGAATTTATTTTTTACAAAAATAATCTGTATTTAGCCAGTAGCAGTTAAAAAGAAATTAGATATTTGAAGGAACGACTAAAAAGTTGGGAGGTCCAGGAGAAATTTTGATGAGGGTAGAACAAGCTTATATAAATGTGTTTGTTTAGGGCTAGCGCGTTAAGTATTGTTTGTCAACGTTATTTTCCTCTGCATCTCGACTCGAGTAGTAAGCACTTTGTAGTCTACCACAATAGAAATTGTCTTGTTTTTATTACAGAAGATCACACAACACTTGTAGCAACAGTCAAAATATAATAAAAAATAAAAGTATCTTACTATGAATGCTTTGGGTTTATACCAAACAATGTTATGTCTTTTGTGAATATATTATTAGTAAATTTTAAGAACTATTAAACTTTAATTAAATTAAAGAACTACAAGTTTATAAAATGGTATCGAAATTGATTTGAAACTAATTGGAGTCGAAAAATGAAACTATCGCACGCAGCTATCGACATGTAATTGTGGTTACAAGTGTTTTACCTGTTAATACCTTCATAAATGACATTTTATTTATTGGTTTCCTAATTGTGAGATTTATCATTGATCGCTAGGTTTTGCTTGCTCGCTTACAAGTAATTTTTCCAGCACTCGGGTACTTTTTTCTTTGTGAAAGGTACCCTGTACACTATGCAGCATCTTTGGTATTAATAGGGCTCAGTAAGTAGGTAGAAACATTTACTGTTATATTTGGGAATGTACGATACAATAAAATGTGTATTATTATGGATAAATTAAACTCAGATACAGAATACTTGATCTTGCTCATCACATAATTATATGTCCAGGGTGGGAACCGAACTTTCGTCCTTTGGTTCAGCAGTTAGAATACCTAGCCACTAGACGAAACAACAACAACAATTCAATAGATTAAAAAAAAAAATTAGAAAATGATTTAATGATTAGAAAAAAAAACTTGATTTAAACTTTTAATATAATATCCCGAGTAAAAATGATTTGATCTGATCATAATATATAATTGAATCATACCGATGAGATATAATAAAATCCAAATTTTGGCAGGATTTAATTATAAATGATAAGATATGTAAATATACGATACTATAGATAAACTTACGAATAAATTTACGCCATGTACGAAGATCAGCTTAGAGAGGGGTGGAAATCAAATACTGGATTAATTACACATTGCTTGATGCTTACATATCAATAAAAAAATATTTTTTATCTAAAGCAGGTAACGAAACCATGACGCGATTCAAATTTTCGAGTCAACGCCATCTATCGAGCCAACTATTCAACCTTTTGTATTAAATTAATTAATCGCGCTACGATTTCGTTAACCTATATTTACGTGAACATGCCTCCCACCAAGGGCATTATGGCAAATGTCCTTCAAAACAGACTCCAGTGCTTCTTAATAAGTTGACTGTTAAAACTATGCTTGTACAATCTTAAGAGAAGTAATAAAAGCACTGAACTACCGCTGACAATTGAGTTTCAGCAAATAACACTTAATGCAAGTAGTAACAATTTAATCTTACAATTCAAATATGTTTAAACCCTTAAGTTTAACATGTTTCTACAATTAAACCAGTCCTTACAATTGGTAACAGGTAATACACATAATTTAGACGTATAGGTCTCTTTATCGTGGACTGTTGTATTCGTTACGTAACTACACGTGTAATACCATCAGATCCAGGGTATTTTATTTGTATCCTACCTAACAACCACCTGCCGGGGGGGCATATTGTCCTCCTTTACTAAATCTACATCACCAATAGAATGCTCCGGAACTTTGTGTTGCTATTTATGACGTTGCAAATATTGGTGAAGATAGTAGAGCGACCATCATCACCAAAATTTCTGCAACATTCGCTGTTGCAGTTGCCATCGCTTCAAGCTACTGATAATGCTCTTCTCTTAATTTGAATCAGGGGCTACAACTAATGGCTCCCTTACCAGAAAACGACCTGGTGTCAAAATGGTTTTATATGATTATATCCAAATATATATAGGTGTATATAGTTCAATATAGAATATAATCATTCAGAATTATATATAATCATATTTAAAGAGTCAAGTCTCACAAAAAATATCATGCTGATATAAAAGAAAATTATAAGGTCCAATCGTATTTAAGTAAATCCAACGTTTTATTTTGACTTAAGATAAAAGGTTATATTTAATTATATATCATTATATATATTTAGATATAATTATAAAAAAATCATATACAAGTTTATAAATTATTTTATCATACACATTTAGATATGATCAGATCCAATTACTTTTTTCCCAGGATGTTAAATAATATAGGTAACAAATTAAATGAATATCAAAACATGAGCTCGTTTGCTCCTTCTTCCATAAAAAGAGTACGAGTTAGACATAATTTTGTATGGCTTCAGTTAAAATGGTTCAACTCTAGCCATAAAAAAGTTTGTTCAAATTTAGTTGCTAATTAAGTATTCCTATTGCAGATATCATTTGAATACTCGTTTGCCGTATATAAAGCTGTACATAGAAAACGAAGAGTTCAATATAGACGGACAGCGCTGTGAGAATATCATGACTTGCCCAATGAGACCCATCACATCTGGTAAGTATCACATCACACATCAATAGCCTTTAACAGTCCACTGCTGGACATAGGCATCTCCTTAGATAGGAGGTTTTGTTAGTTGGTTGGTTAGTGTCATGTTTTCCTTCTCTTTGCACTGCTGTTTTTCTGCGTAGCTTGATCCCTTAGTCAGCTCTTACGACACCCACGGGATGAATAGGGGTGGCGACATTCCGTATTCTTATTCCGTCACCACACGGACATTCCCATTTAATATGGTTTAATATTTCCATTTTTAATTCTCAAAGTGTCCTGTTAACTGTAATGGACTTGGTCCCTGTTATGTAAGTGTGATCAAATTATATTTGGCAAAAATATTGTGGGCGCTTTAGACGGCTCTACCTAACCCTTCGGGATACAGTCGTGAGTGTACGTAGGTCTGTATGTGTGCTGTTTTACATTCTTTCAGTTACTTCCAACATATTCAAAATCGTGGAAAATTAAAATCCTAAAAGCTCTTCTTTTAACAGAAGTAGAAAAACAGTATAATAAAAATATGGAACAAGTTCAGTAAATCAGACGTATCGTGAATAGCTCAACAATTCTACTGCAGTAACAATTAACAAATAAATTAGTCAAAGGACATCATGTAACATTTACTTGAGCACACCAACACCTGATATTTATTTAATTATTTTATTAAGGACAATCAAAAAGGCTTACACTAATCTACATGTTAAGGTTACTACTATATTTTTACATTTTATAGTGTAGTCTTAATTAAAGGCTGCCACGGCATGCATTAAACATAAAAGTAGGAAATGCAGTTACAAAACTGATTAAGGTTATCCAGGAACATTACTACCTAAATGCGGTACATGTTCTAAAAGAATCGTAAATAAATAACATTCAACATACAAATATATTCAAAATCTTATTGATGCTTTGATTCGTGTGGTTTTACTCGGAAGAGTAACAGCATAATATATTGGGCATAAATACATGGGAGAGCCATGCTTCGGCACGAATGGGACGGCTCGACCGGAGTGATACCACGGCCACAGAGAAAACCGGTGTTAAGCAATTATTTCGTTGCCTTTCCTTGAGTGAGTGAGGTTACCGGATCCCAAATACCCCTTCCGCTGACTCGAGCGGGAGGGACTCCAAGGGCGGCAACGCACTTGTGTCTTTTGAGTTGAAGATGTCCATGGGCGGCGAAAGTTGCTTACCATGAGGTGACCCGTCTGCTCGTTTGCACCCTTATACCATAAAAAAACATATCTACAACTAATAACAAATGAAAACAAAAATTCAAAAAATAAATAAAAAAAACTAAACCTATGTGACAGTGAAAAAGACAACAGATACTTCAATATTCCTTTTTCACTCTTGCGATAATGCCCTAATATTCTAGACCATCACAAATCTAGCCTTACAACTAACTTCAATGGGCCACTGCACTAAACGTACTATCGATCGATCCGAATGACCTATTCGAACGTTCAATTCCACTAAAAAGGCAATACTGTCCGTTTCAATGTGTCTGTTCCAGAATAGGCCTATATCAGCAAATAGGGATGTCGAGTAGATGGGTAACGATATCATGCAATTCAGTCCTGGAGCAATAGCTAAACATTTTTGTCCAGAACGACCGGATGGCGTAGTGGTTTGTGTAACGGAATGCTATTCCAAAGGTCGCGGGTTCGATTCCCGCTCAAGTCAAACATTTGTGTGGATTTGGTCTGGGTGTTTCTATGTATAATAAGTATGTATTTCCAAAAAAAAAGTATATATGTATTTATATCAGTTGTCTTGTAGCCAAAGTACAAGCTCTGCTTAGCTTAGGACTAGATGGCGTTGTGTGAATGTGGTAAAAAAAAAAGAAAAAACTATTTTGAAAAAATATTGTTTAGTAGTAATTAGTCATTTAAATAATCAGCACCTTATATACTTTTTTATATTACATATCTAAACAATATTTAGTAAGTTAAGTCCATGAATGCATATCATTCAAGTGAAATCATGTAACCCGCCCCGCATCACTCCCGACGCTAAGGTGTCCATGATACTAGCAGCATTGCCTCGCTGATTGCAACCCCTGCACCAGGAACGATGTATGAAAAAACCTAACTAATAAACTTGAATAACCAATTCTATTCCGTAATTTATTTGGGAGAAATAAATTATAGTTATAAGAAACTAAACATAACACCGTGGGAGAGCCATGCGTAAAGGAGCCGTCTTAACCGAGTGATGCTACGACCTCAGAAAACCGGTGTTAAATAATTCTTTCGTTGTTTTTTATCGAGTAAGTGAGGTTACCGGAGTTACCCCTTTCCCCACTTCCCCTGATTCTTGAATTTGGGGAGAGGAAAGCAAAGAGTGACAGGGCACTTGTAACTTTATAGTTGCAGGTATCCAAATGCCAATTAGCCGCTAGGATTTGAAGTGACACGGCAAATGTATAACTAAGAATCGAGGATCCTTATTAACTACTGAGAAACACTCAACAGTGACATATTATCAAAAACATAAATACCATTCCTGTACATACGTTTGCATAGCCATAGTCAATAATAATCGTTTTAATTTTTAATAATTCGATTGTTGACGAATTTTTGGGTCTGGTTTTACTTTACAGATTGGCAATCATTTAACTTAAAGTAATCATATTCTATCGGAAACAATATTTCCTGTAAAAGGGACGATAGAATAAAATAAGTTCTCTCTACAGGAGCATAAGTAAAATGTAGTTAAAAGTATGATAAATCTAACAGCTATCACCTTGTTTATTAGTTTACACATATTATTGAGTGTAGTGTTTTCAGCCATTTCCAGATTATATTTAAAAACTTTACAATAAATAGTTTACAATACATTTAAATTACAAGTTACAACGAAACATAAAATTCTTTACATTCCTGTTAATAAAAAGCAGTATCAATAATACAATGCTTTTAAAGCGTAGCTCTAAAACCATCAAATAGTTCTAACTTGTAAGAACTGGGTCAATATTTTTTTTAATACCAAAATTATTTTAAAGATAAATATTTCCTAACACATCGTCCTTAGTCCAAAAAAAAAATAGCGTGTCTATTTTCGTACTCTAATATTTTGAAGTAACACAGCAACATGTAATAAGTTATATGATGGTAACCGTAAATAGCCGTCATCCAATAACCGGCATTAAATCTGTTCCAGCCTGCAAATTGGCTGATATTAAATTCTCGGATCGCCCCGGGACTTTCCCGATATTGCAGGAAAAGCTCGCAACGTATTGAAAAATAGTGTACTCCTTGATTCCCAGTATGGGTTTATGAATATGAAATGTATGTACTGGCTGTTTACTTTGATCTTTCTTATGTTCTTCTGGTATCAAAAATATTAAGTTGGTTTGTAAGATTCATTCTAAAAAAAAATTGAAATAGACAATATTATTATCCTTACTGATAAAGTTTTTTGTTACATTTTATTCAATCCAATTTCAAAATAATAGGTTTGTTGCGTTTAGTTCATTCTGTTTTGACATTTAATATTGATGAACTGATTTTAATAATTCCACTAGTTAAAATACGACAAAAAGAGAGCCAAATATTTAGTTATAATACCATTTATGAAGGAAGTGGATACAAGTAGGGGGAGTAAATATTGTGATAAAATTTCGAAAGTTAAAAAAGAATTTTGTTTCTAATGTCAACCATGAAAAATAAATTGGTAATCCGTCGTTAATGAAATTTAGAAGAATGAAACCTCCACTTTTTATCTTCCTTTTTCCATCCTTTAACAAGCACACGATGCGCTTCGATCCGATCCGATCCGATCCGATTGCGTGGTTACTAATGTGTCAAAATTGTACAAAAATTGATTAACACGTTTGCTGCGTTACTAGATACTTAAGAACTTGTATGGATCATGCATTTGTGCGGAGGCATGTGTCGTATGAAAAATAATACATAATAATTGTAATTGCGATATACCACGTAGGTGGTGATGTTTCTTCAAGGTAAAATAATATCATTTGGATATATATTATAAGTGAGTGTTCATAGTTTATAGAAAAAACTTATACGAATCGCGTTAGCTGATTGGATAATTGCCATAAAAGTCACAAGATTATTGTCCTAATTTTTTTATTACCAATAATATTGTACTGTTTCTATCTATATTTTCACGCCAAATCCCTTGAGGGTAGGTAGAGAAAACCGAGAGCTACATGACACGGTCCTTATTTACACACCTCAATCACTTCATGCATCAAAAGTGCTGTTAATGTTATTCAGAGCACTTTTGATGCAAGTTATGGTGATGACTCAGATACAGACTGTATAATCAGTATCGACTTTCTTTAGTACATAACTAAAATTTTAGTAGTTCTACACGTTACCGAATATTATCAATTAGGCAAAGTTTTCACATTATTTTTATCATAAAAAAAGTCGGATTTATATACGACATTTTTTTTGACAATTTTTCAATTTCAATTTTTCGACAATTGTTCGCGAAATGCTGTCTAAGTGTGTGTCGCAGCTCGAATATGGTGAGAAGTATAATTGGGAAAAGGGCACTTCTTGTTTCCCAAATATAATAATTGACATCTACAAAGATAAATCTGTGAGCTGAGTCCGATTGTTAATAAAATTTTAATTTGGAAACTTTGAATTTAATTTCCAAAGTCCTTGATAGTATTCAAAAACTTTGATGGGATCCTTAAGTCAATCTGAGTTTTAATAATAATTATAAGTTATTTGGGAATACTTAAGAGCCGATTATAAGTCAAGCCTATTGTTTAAGCTACTGCTTATTTCAAATCACTATATTATTTAAAATGGGAATTAAAGTATATGTGTAATCAGTTATTTTAACCAGACATTGACCAGATTGCATTAATCTATTAATGTTAATTATAAAACGCTTACTTTTATTTTTTACGATTGTTATATAATTCAACTATTGTTTAGCTAATATTATATTGCTAACCTTGTTGTCGCTAGGATTAGCACTAAACGTTATGGTTGAGGCACCTATACTTCTAGCTTCATCATTATCTTCAGCCTATAGCAGTCTACTGCTGGACACATGCCTCTCCCATTGCACGCCACATAGATCGATTTTGGGCTTCTAGCATCCAGCTCCTGCCAGCCATCTTGCGCAAATCGTCACTCCACCTTTTTTTTTTCCGTGCAGAAATCCCCTCGGATACCACCTATCGGTGGCATGTCGGACTCGAACCGACTAAAACCGCACGCCGTCTCGGGTACTAATAGCCGGGGAACCAGGTATACCCTAGAAAGGAAGTCCCTGGTGAATCGTCACTCCACCTGGCCTGTGGGCGTCCTACACTACGTTTGCCGAGACGCGGGCCACTTAAGAACTCGTTTTCCCCAAAAAAAAAATTGCTTTTGTCTCAATGTATTTCATACTGAGAAGCACATTGATACCAGCCATGCCATAATAGGGTATTTTGAAAATCGAACACAACGACATAACTAACCTTTTAATCATTTTCTTTAGGATCCGAAAACTGCCCATACGACTACATAAAAATATATGACGGCAAAGATGAATCGGCTTCGGTAATAGGGACATTTTGTGGTATGGGCAAATTCCCATACTCCATCATCGGTACGTCTCAGGATTTGTTTGTGGAATTTGTCAGCTCACCAGCAGGTAATTTTCTTTTTATTTACATTCAAGTAGATCAGGTCATGTAGACAGAAATAGAAGTAAAGCACAGTCACAGTCTGAAAAAATCGATTACAAAATGAATATCGCATTACTTATGTAGTCACATATTGTATTCCAATAGATAGAGACCTGGATAAGACTTTATGATTGTGTTGTTTACATTGATTGAATGTTTGTTTTTATAATAACAAAATGATATAAAAAATATAGGTAAATCTCCAGGTAAGAGTACAAAATGATAATAATGTTAAGCAAACTTGGTTCTGATCTAAATTTAAATATATCAAAGGATACTCTTGTATAGGGAGTAAAGAAGGTTGTTTATTAAATTAAAAAGATGATTCGAGGCAATTTCCATTGAAATACACTCCATCGTATATAATCTTAAAATAATTAATTTATTTATTATTGCCTACAATAGCAATTCCAATTCTAAATTTACCCCTAAGCTGATTTTATAATTAAATCATTTATAATAAACAACAGGGCCTCTTCTAAATACTGGTTTCCACTTTAACGTTGGGAACTGGCCTGGTCATGTGGAAGCTCCTGGGTCAAAAGTCGGGACCTGTGACTGGCTGCTCACTGCAGAGACACTCAAGAAATCTGGAGATTCTGAGGGCATCTTCCTGTCAGTAGCCCATTGGTATCCTCCACATACGTCGTGTACTTACCTCATGCAAGGCTTCCCTGGACAAGTTGTAAGACTTTACTTTCCAAGGTAAGCTGTCTATTTAATTGTCACAATATAGAATTACATAAAATTCCTTAATTTAAACACAGACATATGTTTCTCAGCAGCTTTATCTATCTTTAATAGACCAAATATTTTACTTTCAGTGGCTTTGACCTTTTCTTTCTCAGAGTATCACCCATTGAATTAGTGCATACTTTTTGAAGTTTTACGTTGCATAAGCGATGGGTTCATTATTTTGTCAACAGTTTTCGCATCAACCGTATTGAGTCTCCAATACAACCTTGGACTGGTGACTGCGGTGAATCTCTCACCTTATATGATGCTCCAAGACCTGACGATGCTCGCATCATAAAGACTTTCTGTGACACATTCAGCAGGCCAATGGAAAAACATGATTTCGTATCTACTGGCAATGCCATGTTTGTTAGATTCGAGAGTAAAACAGGGAGCTACAGCGGGTGAGTAATATACCTATTTATTTAAGGAAAACTAGAATACTGAGTAGTTTTCATAACATAACTGCAGCACTAACAATAAAATATTACCCTCAAGAGTATTGCTGAAAATATTAAAGTGCTGCAAATGAAAAATCTAAATGAAAACAGAGAAGAGAACAAAGCGCAACATAATTTATATCTCTCCATAACTTAATTTTGTGGATTTTTTTATGGCTTCAAAGACATTAAGCAGTCCTAATGAGCCAGATTGTAATGAACAACATGAATTTGCCAAAGCCTCGACGCCTGTGCTTATTTGTGGGCAATATCGCATCAACGAATAATCCCATCAACTAAATTTAAACACAAAATTACAAAAAGAATAACGTGGCTTATCGTTCAAAATTCAAATTTTAGAATACTATTTGGGTACTGAATAATCGCTTTAGGATTACTTGAGTTCTGTCATTCTGTGGAGATGTTTGTTAAGGTAAAATTCGTCCAAGCATTCCATTTTTGATTATAGAAAAGCAATGTCGTTTATCCCTTTAATTGAATTGCAAAGTGTCCTAAAATATAATCTTAATTTTCTTAGAAAATAATATTAGTAGAACAGTTTATACAGGACTTGGATCAGGTTTTGTAACCATCGTAGAATAACAATAATTCATTTATGTATCTTTAAACGCTGACTGTATCTGGACACATTTAGTTATGCTTCAATAGTTGTTTACAAGTAACTTTGTATAGATTCCATAATTTTGAATGTCATCATTATAGTATCGATACGTAGAATGGTATGCGTACGCTATATTGAGCATTACCGAATATAATATTGAACGTTACTCAATAGTATGCCCTTTCGAGCAGTCAAGTACAATGCGTATACCTGTACGAAGCCAAGTTTGGTATATTGCCATTTTACATAAAGATCACACTTTAATTGCGACTGCTTTGTAATGATTAATACACTAAGTAACTTAGTCAATACAATTCAGGTTTAAATTAAAGTTTATAAAAAATGTGGACCAACAAAAAAAGTAAAAAACAATATTTTATTTCTGGATAGCAAAAAAAAAACTGTTGGAGTTGAAGGAAAAGCTGTTTTGATAGATTTTTATAATACAAATCAAAATTTTCCTTTTAGATCCTCTCTATACTATTGGGCGCATTACGACTTCTTCAACAACACTCGCTTTGGAGAACCAGTACCTGGAACAGCCTGTGATGAGATTATAGCCTCTTGGAAACAGAGAGCAGGAAGACTTAGATCTCCTCTAAATACTTTAGTGTATAAACAAGCTTCACCAGGAGAAGATGTTCACTGTTTGTACAGATTTGTGACTGACAAAAGAATTTACGCTAGAGTGATATTGACTGTTTTGAACGTGAACTTTAAGGTAAGGTTTTTATTGAAGAAATTTCTAGCATTTAAGACATTTCTGATACAAAGCATTAAGTAGATACTAAATCAAATTAACAATCTCGGTTGATGGTGATCGGCTGATCTCTTGATTGATATCAGAGAATATTCCAAGGTTTGGAATTGTTCTGGTAGCCCATTCCACCAAGATCACCTTGTCTCACTTATCCATGCTAAAACTGTATCTATTTTTCTATAAGAGTATAGCACTATTAGATCTATCCGAGTTAAATTATTTACAGTAAGGTCAAATATTTCAGGTAATTGGCTCAATTTCAAGCATATTTCTACTCCCTCCTTCCTTTATCCTTAAATTACGTAATTTGCCTCAAAATTTATTTAGTTAAATAGTGTTTGCCTAAAGTCTCGAAATATCTTATTAGAAAGATAAAGTTCGCCTTAATTTGTAATTTCATTTTAAAGATAAACGAAATTGAGAAAATATCCTAAGTTAAATTGTTTCTGAGAAATTTGTTTTTAATAACTTGAAGGAAATATTTATAGTCCTTGTTTGTTTTACATGAGTTTGAGTTGTGAAAAATGTTTCAACATATTATTCTTGACTTTTTGATCTCTATATTTTTGTTTCATACAAGTTAAAGATAATGTCTGAATAATGTAACACACAATTACACAAAAGGGCGATGTAAACAGTGCACTGCATGGATGGCGGGATTAAAGTGCTACCACTTCAGTCCCGGTATCCATCGTCAGTTGATAACCCATAACACTGTTATTTTTGTAATTTTCTAACTATTATTTTAGTTCTCTGTAATCTTTATAGCCGTCACTAGGCTCTTACTCCGCGCAAGGAACATTTGCAAGTATGCGAGTGAGATGTACTCGCATAATGTAAAATGTTTGGAGCAGTTGTCTTAATTACAAACAACTGATTGAGGTTTTTCTTGTTTATCTGATAAATTTTATAAAATAAATACCAGATATTCAAACGAACTCGTTTTACTTAACGTAATATAAAGTATTCGTAATAGTTTAATTGTATAGTGCGAATATAACTTCATATATACATATATTGAAATAATATCTTTAACATAAATGGTTAATTTGGAATACATGACAAACCTCTTTGAGATTGCTCTCTGATTTATTTAGTGTTAGGCTTGATGAATAAAATTCAACAACAATCAGTGATTTAGTAGTAATAATGTCTTAAAGATCTTTTAAATTTCTTATTCTTTCAGGATCATCCATACACAACTGTAACCTGTCAAAACTGTTACGAAGATCGCGCGGATAAGTTAATTATTTGGGAACCTTTCCCGATAGGAAAATCACAAAACATGACTTTACCAGGAGTGAGCACTACACCTCTGCCACTCCATCTCGCCGTGCAGAGATCACTCGGTTCATGTCTTTGTGCCAAACATGCTAACGCTGTCTCCAGAGCTAGGCCATATAGAGTTGTATCTTCAGGCGAAAGCTTAAATCTCCAACTTATAGTCGACAATGCTCATGCAGCCGCTTCTTACTTCAAAAATCCATTGCCACTGTTTGAAGCTCGTTATGAATTTGTCCATGGGCCACTTTGTGGACCAGCAGTATTAGCTGCAGCATCAGACGGGGAAATAGTTTACCCTCATCTAGAAGCCTTAGGTTACATGGAACCGCCAAAGAGGATACAATGCATTTGGGATTTAGAAATCGAAGACAAAAGAGATATTTGGTTGCACTTTGAGAGCATCAAATTTGCATCACGGCATTGTGAAGATGGTAATATACAAATTTATCTTCCTGGACGATTAGATCCCTACCTTTCTGTTTGTGGAGACAATGTTTCAGAGACTGAAAAAATGCCAATATTATCAGCCGGTGAACTAGGATTTGAATCTTTAGATGATCCTTTAGTAATTGAAAAGGAAAAAACTAGATCTATTCGCATTGTTTTCATCGGCAGTGCATCTCCTGCGCGGGCAGCTTTCAAAATAGCCTGGACTGGTCTTTATCATTTACCTAAAAATTCAGACGGTACTTTAATGACATCGAGATTGACCGATAGTGAACTGAAACCATCTGATTCGGGCCAGGGTTGCGATTTTATTTGTCCTGGAGAAGCTCTATGCATTCCAGCAAGACTGATGTGTAATGGCGTTGTCAACTGTCCTAATGTGACATCTGGCGAACGCAAATTTTGGACAGCTGATGAGAAAAGGGCTAGAGAAGCATACTCCGAAGATAGTCTTCGTCGTTTGGGATATTTGGATTTATTAGGAGGATTACCATTAGGCCAGTTACATGATGAATCACCTGTGCTCTGTGCGAAAGCAAGGAGTGTTGGAGCCGGTGATTGGACAGCACCAGCTTTAGGTGCAGGGTTAGCGCTTGCTATTGGTGTTTGTGCTCTTGGCGCTGCCTGGCGCCTGTGCTGCCGCAAGCGCTCTCCTGACGAAGAATCCCTAGACTACTGACATGCGGCCCGCGGTGCGCCACACGCACCGCCGTCTCTCAACTCTCGGTCTACTTCTAGAGACCTCCCAATAGATTGGAGCCTCCATTGACAGACGCTATACTGAGCGCCGGAGCCCTCCTGTGTTGATTACTGAGAACCAAGTTCTTTACTTGTTATTGTTACCCGGTAATGTGGATCATGATACCTTAGTATTCAGAAATCTGTCAATTTTACTATGAACTTCTGCTATAAATATCTGTGTATAACGGCAGTTTTCATGGTTTGTTATGATATTATTAGCTTGTGACGTAGACTTCACTTCAATAATTTAAATTACGTAGATGAAAAACGTATGCAATGTTCACCATTTACAGATAATGGTGTTTCTAAGAAATGTACTGGTCAATTAATTTGGTTTCTTTATGTATCATCAAAATAGTGTACTTAAATTTTTTACCGACTCACGAATCCTACTTTATACTGTCGTTATATCCTTACTCTTCAATTTAGGTGTAATATATAAACAGCACTTTCTATATTTAATGCATTTTATTTAGGAGGGTAGTGTGTCTGGCGCTCAAAATAATCATATTGTTTTGTAATTAGTGTATATATCCTTATATATAAATTTAATCTAACATTACTGATGCTTCGAACGAATGATCATAGGTTTAGGGCAAGGTGATAGTAGCCAAACAGTTAAGTCATTATCAAAATAGGTAGTAAAGACTAGTTTTAAAATTTTGTAACATGACATAAGTGTTAATATTCCTTGATGAACAACTGTAACGAGGAACTCTATTCTCATTCGAATCCACATTTTTTCTGATGCCTTATTTTTAAACAATTGTTTTTGAGAACACTATTATTAAAAAAAATGTTATTTAAAGTTCATCACTGTTTTTTTTTACTAAGTGTCAAGAGCTGTCAAATAGTTACACTTACGCTGGCTTGAAAGCAATTTGACTGACTGCAAGTATCATGCATCTGTACTCGTTGTAATGTAAATAAATTTGTTTAGGGATTAAGGACGTTATTAGAATACTCAATGGCAGATTCCGTTGATTTCTTAATACAATAAAAAATATATTACAAAGTTGGTTTTTAGTGACCAGAAATGGTTAATCAACAGCAACTTTATACAGAAACATTTTTTAAATTGTTATTTTTTTCGAGAAAATGTATGAGTTTATCTTTGTTAAGATTAAATGATTTCAAAAGTAGTCTACTTATTTAAATTAATTTTTAATGTTGAGTAATCGATGAAGTCTGCCTTTTAATTTAAAACAAAATGTACACGCACTACAGTAAGCTATGGATAGTTGTGTATTTACAATAATTTAACAATAATATTTATTTAATAAAAATGATATATTTTGCACTGTTAGCGAATAGGTTGTTTTCACTGCCGTTACGATTTTAAAGCTTTTGATAAACTTTAAATGTATTAATGAAATTTAATCACTTTGTTTGTAAGCTATATCCATTACAAAGTTTCAGTACTAAGAGTGGGGTCCAGCTTAATTGGTGAATGTTTGTGTAATTTTAGATGTCTGGTTTCAAGTAACTTAAGCATAGCAGGTGTTTATGTAAAAACTACTTCGCATGTTTGAGCAGTATACCTATTTATGTTGCACTGCGTTGTAAAGTTTTATTTTTCAGTTTTTATTTAATAAGTGCATAGTAATATTGAAATGTTATCAAGAAAGTAATTTAATAAATAGTTATTTAAAATGTCAGCTGTTAAAACTCGACTTTGGTTTTTATTCAAATGCGTTCAGGCATCAGAGAATTCAGATGAAATTTGATTTAAAAAGCAGTTCAAATGTGAGACCAAATCTTAAATGAAGGTAATAATAATAGTAATAAATGAACCGTTTTGCATTTGAATATTGCTTAAGCTAAAATAACCTTATGGAAGGCTTACAGTCAGTCTGACAGTAAGCCTTGAATAAGGTTTAACACATGTGTAGGCTACAATGTCTTGAGAGTTCAATACAATAGAGTTCCGAGCTCTGATGGGGCTACCGCGCTTCTATATTGTGTCAGGGATGTTTGCACCTACTGCCATTGACGTGTTTACCACTATTTGAAACAGGAATATGGCTTGTCTCTTGCGGTTGGTTGACATCACCTCTAACCATCAGCTACCACCAACTCTTTATTAAATTTTACAACAACAACAACAAATTTAACCACAGCAAAAACTTTATTAAATTAGGTATGGTCTAAATTGTTTTTGAGATACGAAAACTATTCCATTTTTTTTCAAGTTAGTAAGGACTAATGGAACTGAAAATAATGGTTATTGTAATCTAAATACAATTCCATGCACATGCACAATGTAATGTCCGTGTGTTCACGGATTTAAAATACGGAGTGTCGCCACCCCTATTCATCCCGTGGGTGTCGTAAGAGACGACTAAGGGAGCAAACTACGAAGGACAACAGCACTGCAAAGAGAAGGAAAACTTGAAGCAAACCCTGTACCAAACTGTCTGGCCAGCGTGGTATAGTAGGCCAAAACCTCATTTCTAAGGAGAGGCCTATGTCCAGCAGAGGACTGTTAAAGGCTGTTGCTGAAATGCAATTTTACAAGAATTAAATACATTTAAACATAACACAACATAAAAATAAATATCATCATTAATAAAAAAACTAGTAATGGATGTAGCTTACTGTAATTTTGTTTTATTACAAAAGTTATTAATACCTGCAATTATATGTTTAAAGCTTTCTTTTAACCGTTATTAGATTTTGTTAGCATTTACCGACGGGTAAAGGTGTTAAAAAATAAAAATATATTTTGTACAACCAAATGCTTTTATTATTAATACCTCTATATTATATGTACTAATAACCCTTTTTTTTTTTACGTGTGGAAATCCCCTCGGACCGTCACCCCACCGGGGTTTGCGGCGGGGTGGTCTGTCGGACTCGGACCGACTAAAACCACACGGTGTGCCACTCTGCGCCTGTAATAGGTAGTAGGCCTGAACAGCTGTTATTAAGACATCCGGACCCCTCCTAGCGCCGGCCCGCTCCTGTTGCGGGCTCCGTCTCAATGTTTTTTTTTTTTTTTTTCCCTCTCTTTAGGCGACGTCCGGCACACGCGGACGCCGCCCCCTCGCCTACCCTTTTTTTTTTTTTGTAACGTGTCGAAATACCCTCGGACCGTCATCCCTCCGGGGTTTGCGGCGGGGTGGTGTGTCGGACTCGGACCGACTAAAACCACACGGTGTGCTACTCTGCGCCTGTAACAGGAGGGATCCGGGAACAGCTGTTGTTAAGACATCCGGACCCCTCCTAGCGCCAGCCCGCTCCTGGTGCGGGCTCCGTCTCAATGTTTTTCCTCTCTTTAGGCGACGTCCGGCACACGCGGACGCCGCCCCCTCGCGGCTGGCCAAACTAATGCGGGTGGAGGGGAAACCCACCCCGTCCACCCGCGGCCACACTCAGGGCGGCATGAGGCTGTGATAGGCGGGCCTCCGCCGCCCGGTTCGCCGGCGGTGGATCGGGTCCAAGCAAGCTGTCGGAATTACTTGTCGAAGAGCCACCTCCCGTCGAGGATCAGGCCCAGATATTTCATCTGGGCCCGAACCGGTACGAGGACCGAGTTGACCACGATTGAGGCGCCAGGGGGTGGACCACGACGGGGCCCATGAAATAACAGGGCCTCCGTCTTATCTAGGGCCACCCGTAAGCCCAGCGCCTCAATGCGCCCGACCACCAGGGAGACTCCCCCTGTGGCCAGGCGCGCCACCTCTTGGAAGTTTGCCCCCCGGGCTGTCACCAGGGTATCGTCTGCGTAACAGATTACACCCAGCCCGGGGGGGAAATCGGCGCGAAGGGCCCAGTCGTACCCTATGTTCCACAAGAGGGGTCCAAGAACAGACCCCTGTGGAACACCGCACGACATGGGCCGACACCTCAGATTACCTTCTCGGTCCTCGTATACGACGGTACGCTCCTCTAAATAGTCTGCCACTAGCCGCCTCAGGGACTTGGGCACCCAATGATAGTGGAGTGCTTCCCTGATGCAGCTGAATGGCAGACTATTGAATGCGTTGGCGATGTCTAATGACACCGCCAACAGCACGCCGCCACAGCTCACGACCTCTTCGGTCACGGCCCTCAGGCGCAACACGGCGTCGACTGTCGAACGCCCCGCCCGAAAACCAAATTGGGCGTCCGACAGATCGGGGCCCACCTCGCAGAGGTGCCGGACGATGCGGGCAGAAAGAACCCTCTCAAACAATTTACCCGCCTCGTCCAGCAGCACGATGGGCCTATAGGCCGCGACCGAATCGGCAGGCCGTCCCGTCTTCCTTAATAGGACCAGCTTCCCGCTCTTCCAGCACTCAGGGAAGCGTCCCGACGCCAAGCTAGCGTCGAACACCTCTCCGAGGCGGTCTGCCATGTGGTTGAGGGCCAGGGCCAGCACTCGGGCCGGTACCCCGTCTGGCCCAGGGGCGGTGTTCTTGGAACGGATCCGTAGAACAGCCGCCCCTACCTACGAATCCCGGACGGGCGGAACATTATCCTCCCCGTGCTCCCCGTCGTCTCCGGTCAAGGAGGCCATCGCCGGGGGAGTGTGTTCCGCTCGTTGAGGGAAAAGGCCCTCAACCACTTCTCGCAGGAAGCTGGGCTGGAGAGTCTCCGTAAGGGGGGGCCCGACGCGCGAAGCTTTTGTCGCACCGCGCGGTAAGGGCGACCCCAGGGGTCACGATTAAGACCCTCCAGCATCTCCTGTCTCTTTTCTTCTTTGGCGCGGCTAATGGCCAGCTTCAGAGTTTTCCGCGCCTGTCGGTACTCCTCATGAAGCCGGTCCTCCTCACCGTCTCCACGGTGACGCCGCCGACTGCGCGTGTAGGACCTCCGGGCACGTGTACAGGCCGCACGGAGGTCCGCCAGCTCCTGGGACCACCAGTAGACCTCCTTCCTTGGAGGCCGACGACCTCGAATGCGGGGCATGGCCGCATCGCAGATATGCGTAATCGCATCGCGAAAGCGAACAGC